CAGGTTTCATAGATTTCATAGACATTAGGTCTGGAAGGGACCTTGCAAGACCATTGAGTCCAGCCCCCTGCTCCAGGGGCAGGAAGTCAGCAGGGATCATAGGATCCCAGCATGATTAACATCCAGATATCTTTTGAAGGCGTTCAGAGTAGGTGCTTGAACCACGTCCAGCAGCAATCTATTCCAAACCTTGGGGGCTTGGACAGTAAAGAAGTTCTTCCTTATGTCCAGCCTGAAACGGTCATGGAGGAGCTTATGACCGTTCGACCTTGTCATCCTTTGAGGCACTCTATTGAATAGATGTTCCCCCAGATCCTGGTGAGCACCCCTGATGAACTTATATGTAGCCACCAGATCACCCCTGAGCCTGTGCTTTTCCAGGCTGAAGAGTCCCATGGCTCTCAGCTTCTCTTCATAAGGTCTGTTTTCCTGACCTCTGATCACGTGCGCAGCTCTCCTCTGCACCCTCTCAAGCTTCTCCACATCCTTTTTGAATTGTGGAGCCCAAAACTGGACGCAGTACTCCAGCTGCGGTCTCACCAAGGCCAAGTACAACGGGAGGATGACGTCCTGGGATTTACTTGAGAAGCATCTGTGGATGTAAGCAAGCATTTTGAATGCTTTACTAGCAGCAGTATCACATTGCAGGCTCACGTTCACCTTGTGGTCAATCATAACCCCCAAGTCCCTTTCATCCATAGTGCTAGCCAGCATAGCACTGCCGAGCCTACAAGGATTCTGCAGGTTTTTCTTCCCAAGGTGGAGAACCTTGCATTTTTCAGTGTTAAACACCATCAGGTTCTCATCTGCCCATTTCCTGAGCCTGTCAATGTCAGCCTGGATCACCCTCCTGTCTTCAGGTGTGGACGCTTTATCCCAGAGTTTGGTGTCATCAGCAAACTTGGCCAGTCCGCTTCTGATGCCAATGTCTACATCATTAATGAAGATGTTAAATAGTACAGGCCCAAGGACAGAGCCCTGGGGGACCCCGCTGGCGACAGGGCACCACGATTGACTTCCGTCAACCACCATCCTCTGGGTCCTACCACGGAGCCAATTCCCCAGCTAGCGGATCGCGGTGTGGCTGAGGCCGCAGTTAGTCGGTTTTACTCAGAGGTGATCGTGGGATACCAGATTGAAGGCTTTTTTAAAGTCAAGATATATGACATCAATCTCTTCTCCTTTGTCCAGGTGATAGGTCACCTGCTCGTAGAAGGAAGCAAGACTGGTCAAGCAAGAACTACCCGCAACAAACCCATGATGCCTATCCCTCAGGATGTTGCCATCAGCCAGCCTGTTAAGAATGGCCTCTTTGAAAATCTTTTTGAAGACCTTCCCCAGGATAGAGGTCAGGCTGATGGGCCTATAGTTTGCTGGATCCACTTTCCTTCCTTTCTTGAAGATAGGAACAACACTGGAAGAAGGCCAATCATCAGGGACTTCACCAGAGCACCACGAGTTCTCAAAGATCCGTGCCAGGGGCTGGGCTCTGATGCTAGCCCTTGAGTACCCTGGGGTACTCCTTGAGTACCCTGGGGTATAAACTGTCAGGGCCGTCTGACTTGAAGGTGTCCAGCCTCTCAAGGTGTTCTTTCACGAGGTCAGCATTGATGGAGGGTAAGGAATCTCCCTCACCCGGGCCTCCCTGTCCCATAGTGGGCAGGGGCGTCCCATGGGACTGATAAAATGTACCCATTTAATAAGTTGGCTTTTTCCTGGTTGTTGGTCGTCAGTTCTCCCATCTGGTTTAGCAGGGGTCCAATGTTGCCCTTGCTTTTTCTCCGGCTCCCCACATATCTAAAAAAGAACTTTTTGTTGTCCTTGATACTTGTAGCTAGTCAGAGTTCCATCACAGTCTTGGGTTTCCTGGTTTGCTTCCTGCAGGTCTGGACCAGTGCAGAGGTTCATCAATGACTTGCATGCAAATGGCACAAAAAGGTAAGTGGCACAAAAGAGAGTACAAGCATAAAATGAAAACAACTGCATAACTACTTCAGTGTAGGGACATTCTACCTAGTTGTATGTTTTTATATATATCAAGATTTTGGGGTACTAAGACAATACCTCAAATGAAAATAAAACAGATCCGATTAATAATAGCTGTTTGAAAAAAAAAAGCAGCTAAATAGTTTTAAAAGTCAAATATAGGTTGGCTAACCTATCTTAAATATTCAGCTTTGACAAGAATAATGATTCAGTCTGAAGCTGGTTCATATCTCTATATAAAATAGTGATCAACAGTTTCATGAGATGCTTAAATGTTACTTTTCATTCATTTAAAAAGAAAGTGCTACCTATAGTTGATCTATTATTCAATCATTTGGAGCTACTAACTGGCTAAAGACTGGAGTCTGGTGAGCTGGGTTATAGTTCTCACTCTACCACAGAATTATGGGGTGACCTTCAGAAAGTTATGTAATGTTATCTGCCTCCATTCCCCATTTTTAATAAAGGTGTTTGGTCAAAGGCCTGTTCCAAGCCTTGCAGCCCACTGGTCTAGTGTTGTCAAAGCACACTAGTTTTTGTAGACAACAACACAAAAGGGCTAGACATGACTGGCCACTAGTCCAGAGTGGCTCAAGCTCAAGACTCTGCATCTGTAAGAAGGTGACTGCACAAAAGGTGTTAGAATTTCTGTAAAGCAATGAGATCCTGATAGAAGGAGCTATAATATGCAGATATGATTCCCCTTTACTTAAGCATTTTTCACACCACATGATACACCAAGCTCCTTAACAGATTACTAGTAATTGAAATGCATAGCATCTATGTAGGCTCCATCCATCTTCTAAAAATCTAGACTTTGGGTATTTTGTAGATATAGGCAGCCCATTAATATGACACATCGGAAAACTTGGACCATGGTGCATTACTCCACTGAAACGGATCTATTATATGATTAACATGTGAACTGATCATTCTACAGGGTATGCTTTGTGCGGGCCGGGAGCGGTCCGAGGCTTTCGGGGGCGCGCGGCGGGCTGTGGCCAGCAGCCCTGGCACGTGGGTCGGGGAATTCGTCACGGCGGACTAGAATTAGGCACAGACGCGTAGCGGTTGATTAAAGATTATTTTACTTACACCGTAGATGGTCGCGGTGCAGGCAGGAAAACTTCTCTTAAGTTGCAGTTACAAACGAAAAGAAAACTCGCACGAACAAGACCCGTAGAAAACTCGAGCCTCTTAAACCCGGAAAGAGCTCTGGATACACACACACACAAAGTTTGCTAGGCTCCGTGGACCGAGCGCACAGGGAAGGGTACGTCGAGGGATCAGGCGGCGACGGGGAGAGGCTAGAGGTTGATCAGGCCCCTATATCCTTCTTAAGGCACACGCTGGGTTCATTAAGCTCCACAGCGCTTAGAGTGCTTCACGAGATGGATGTGAAGTTCTCCTCCTCCAACTTGGGCGGAAACTGCTCAAGCCTCTTATACGGCTAGCCAGCCAATCGCTAGCCGCCCCGTGGGAATAATTTAGAAACAGCCAATAGTGGGACACAAATTTACATACGAATGGCGGGAACTCCTTTGCACTGGGGTTTTCTCTATGCAACTGAGAACTGAACCGTGCAAAGAAAGCTCCTCATGGCGGGAAATAATTCTGCAGTGCCGAAGCGCGCACACAAATCATACCCTTTGGGTCATGACATGCTTCAAAGACACAAGCTGGCTAGACTTCACTTCATTCTAACTCTCTTACACATACTTAATGGAGTATGTTGCCAGCTAAGAGAAGATCATCTGAAAACTTTCATCCCAGTACTGAATGATTGCCACATCACAATGAATTCATTAGCAGGCAATCTTTTGCTTAACAAGCTGGTTTACTTGAAGGATGGCTAAATTAACAGCTTCTATCACTAACAATAGAGCTCTTGGATCCACTTTATTAACTGGAGAAGCACACAAACCGAACTAAAAGCGGCTATCCAAACAGAGTGACTATCCAAAATCAGAAAGGTTTCAAATGCTTCTCAGGCAGGCATGTCCTTGAGAGGGGAAAGGCTTCATTTCAGTGGCCAGTTTTTCCTTGGTTAAAGAATTTATTTTCAGAAAACACTTAAAGGGAATTTGAGCATTTGTACACATGCATGGGCCACAGTGCTGGGCACTTTTTAAAGTGCCTGGCGCTGCAGCGTATGCATTTGTGTAAATGGTGAAATGCGTGTCAGCACTGAGAAAATGACAGTGGTGTGCTTTGGAACTAAAACACATCAAAGGTGTTTTAGTTCAAAAACGCACTGCTGCCATTTTCTGCATACTAATGTGCATTTTGCCATTCATACAAGTGCATGTAATGCAGTGCTGGGTGTGTCAGCTCATGTGCTCCGCAAACTCCATTAATCAAGACTGCTCTGATGCGCTTGATTTCCAGCGCGTTGGAGCAGACAAAGGTCCATGTATATACGCCCAAAGGATTTACTCTTCTGTAACTATAGCACAATTAAATCATTCTAATCCAGTATCTGTTCTCTTCAGACACATTCTATGAAACTGGTCCTTTTGCCCTTCTAAAAACAAATCAAAGTTTGTCCACCTCTGCCTTTAATAAAAGACGACACTGGGAGAATCTTTTTTGTTATCATTATCCTATGTGTACATATATGCACATACACAACCCATGTGAAATAGCTGCATTCTAAATCACATTTTGTTTAAAAAGGGCTACTGTTCAAAAACAGCTCTATATTTCACTGATCAGACTGAGATAATGTAGCTCCATACAGATCTGCTCTAATTTGTTTAATTTTAGGCCTAATTCTGAATAGGTCCAATGGGTCCTTCCCACTACCTATCCAAAGACAATTATCTCCAAGGTATAAAGAACAGTTTTATCGTTTGCTAATTTAGTAGGGTTTGTTGACATTTAATATACACTGGATTAATGAGAGAACTTCTAAAATGTTTGAAAAAATATGAAGAGAAAATGTGTTCATTAACTGGAAATTTAAGATTTCTGGGATGAAACAATGAATTAAAAGGCTCTGTTGCCCCACAAACCTGGCCATCTGTTTATATGCTTCTTCAGCTACAGCAAAAATGTGTGGATCCATATCCCCCATATTTTGACCACTGTAGGCATTGATGATATCTTCGCCATATATAGGCAGCTGCTCATAAGGATTTATGGCTACCAAGACGATACCTACAAGGGAAATTATACAAACCCAGTTAATAATAGCTAAGTGAAAAAAAAGCAAAAACACTTTCAAAAGCCAAGCAAAATTATTTTGTGTACTGCACTCTGGCAGGCGTTACCAGAGTGTTACTTACCCGTGGCATAAGGCATATCATATATTCGCATATGATATTACAACACCATATGCCAACAATAAAAAACTTTAGTACAGAACTTTTTAATCAATAGTGGCTTGACTTTAAATTGTAACGTCCTAAAAGGGCTCAAAAATAAATGGAGATATATTTTATATGACTGACATCTTGCATACAATCACAGATGGAAACCAAAAGTTAGACTTGTAAAAAGTGCCGTAAGGTCAGTTTAATATTCACAGAAAAACATATTTAACTCCCTACATTTTCTAATTTCTTCTATCCCTTTTTTCCATGCTCCCTCTATCTAAATGGACCTGCCTTTATACCACACTCAATCACCACATTTGAGTGCCCCTTCTAGTTCATCCTGCCCTTTTTACTCTCCCTAAATTGCATCCTAATTCAGTCTGTAACACTGGATAAAATGAGGACTCAGGCACATCTCTGTCTGTCCCTGGAGTAAGGTCCAAAAGATTGCTGGTCACATTCTTCATCATGAATAAGGAGGGTTTCTTCACCCAGAGGGGCAGTTTGAGCAAAGGCTAATAGTAGCTTTCCATCCTGCAGTCCTGTTAATGTACAGGGAGGGCTTATTTGTTCCAGTTGTAGAGAAAAGCCACTGCTTGCTGCCACCATGACAGAGCCTATAGAGAAGTAGTGGCTATGAAGGAAAAAAGAACCCATCATGATTTTAAATGAAATGGCTTTAAAGTGCAATGCTAATCTCTCAGAATCAGTGAGACATCATTCAATGAAAGGCAGCTTGGGCAAGGAAGTCTTTATCTAGACCCACCCCCCACCTTCTCTCTCATCAGAGATGCTTATAAAGCATTCAGTTTTGCATGTGAATTTATCTACTCTTACTTCCTCTACGCTGTTTCCATTTTAAGCTGTCATCCAGGTAAAGAAATTAAATTAGATAGGCCCAAGTATTACAATTAGGATATGAAAATTCTTTCATGGAAAAGCAAAGAAAAGGCACCTGAAATCTGGACCTGCTACTAAAGTGGCCTTTCACTTCTGTAAGTAACTAAATTCTATTATTTATTTATTTACAGATCAGGCACACAGCAAACCAATGACAACCCATCTTTCAAAAAAGATCTCAAAGTTTCTTAACCAATCTCATCAGATGCACAAGTTATAGGTCTAGTCTAGACACACCTATCTATCTAGCCTGTGATACAAACAGCTCAGTGTTTTTCCATCAGCCATGACCACTGGGATGACTCAGAAATCTGAAATTAGAGTCTTGGTACTGTTAAAAATATATGCCAAGCTCTACTGCTTTAATGAAAAACCAAAAAGGGAAAAAAGAAATGAACCCTACAACTGGCTGGTTCAAGGAATTTGTGTGAGCCAGTTTCAAACAGCTAGCCATTGAAAATATGAGCAGGTGATAGAGTTGCAAGCTCTGATCCACATTACAGATGCAACCTAGCTTGAGAAGCACAAAAATGGAGATCGCAAGTGATGTTATAGACCAATAGGAAGTGCAGTGCCAGAGCTGGGCAACTGCTAGAAATTTGGAAGTAGCTAATGTGCCACAAATCAGACGTAATGTGCACTTGCAGATCTTTGGGGGAAAGTATGCACAGTGCCTGTCTGCAAAATCCTGGACTTCCTTAGAAAACCAGATTCAATCCAACGAAATTAAAAGTAAATAAAACTACAGTTAAGATGCTTCCATAGGAAAAAAAAGATTGGAAGCAGCCACAGATACTATTAATGCTGGAATAGGTCTGATGTGGTCCCCTGTAAAAAAGGGGTGTCAAGTGTTTGCTTCCTACTGGAGCACCTCCAGGAAACACTTCTCAAAACTGCCACAGATGTTTGTCATGTGTTTGGAAGCTTTTTGAGATCTCTTGCAGGCTACAAGAGATCAGTGACCATCTATAAACTCACTAGGGGGGACCAGAAGGGTTTGGGGAGACCTTGTTTCCCCTAGCACCCCCCGGGATAACAAGGAATAATGACCACAAGTTGTTGGAGAGTAGGTTTAGATTAGACATCCATAAGAACTACTTCACAGTCAGGGCGGCTAGGATCTGCAACCAACTTCTAAGGGAAGTGGTGCTGGCTCCTACCCTGGGGGTCTTTAAGAAGCGGCTTGATGCCTACCTGGCTGGGCAGACAAGGTTCCTTGGGTGAATTTGATATCTTTTATTAGACCAACCCAAATAGTTGGAGAATAGTTATTAGGCAAACTTTTGGGTTCAAAAACCCTTCTTCAGGCTAAGGAAGTTTCAGCAGTTGGTGTGTGCTCTTCCTGGATAGAATGAAAAGTAAAGAAGCCAGAGGCTGGACTGGGGAGTCAGTTGCCAGGCAGATTATAATGTATCAAAAATCCAATGTCTATGTTTAGTCCCTGATCTCTAGTATCCAGCAGGTTGATGAAATGGAGTTCATAGGCTCGTCTCTGGGATGCATTGTATAAATTTCCCTTGAGGATCAGGACTGAGAGATTGGAGAGAGAGTGGCCCTCCTGTGAGAAATGTGCCCCCACCGGTAATTGGGTATTTCTGTCTTTGACGGATTTCCGGTGTGCGTTCTTTCTGGTGCGCAGTTGTTGTCTGGTCTCTCCTACATATTTTCCATCAGGGCATTTGGTGCATTGGATGAGGTATATTACATTTCTGGAGGTGCAGCTGTAAGATCCTGGGATGCTGATGGCTCTGTTGTGGGGTGTAGTAA